ATAGGTCACCACAGACATCTATGCCACGTCTTCCTTCGTTACATGTGCCGCGCACACGTCCCTCTACCGGACCGAGTAACGACACGGCGACGCATCGCTGTCCTAAGTTTGAGGCAGCACAAAAACGCTTCGAGGAGAGACGTCGAAGCATTAGTCCCCGCTCCAAGGACCCAATGAAAGCGAGACAGACTCTTGAGAAGGGAATCCCCAGGATTCACTCTAAGAGTATGGACATTCATGGGTACCACAAATTGCAGGGGCTAATTGAATTTCACGATAGGCTTTTTGACGACGAAGAACAGTACTCCGAGCTCCTAGATGCCCTCTTGGGCGAACTCGAGAGAGCACCAGACGAAAAGCAGCAATACTTCGGGCGCCCGCTTGACCCCAAAGCGCAGGTGCTTATAACAGTGCGTTACACGTTCAGACACATGAAACGACTTGTGGACAATGGTGGGTCCACGATGTCGTTGGGGGAGTATGCATCTCGTATAATCAAATCCATCATCAGAGCCAGGAAAAATTACGACACTACTTGCTATATGGCGATAGTATTGAATGAGACCGCGGAGGAGATGGTGAGCGCGGCAGAGTTTGGGGACATTGTTAAGGCTGTCGTGGACGTTGTCTCTGCGGAGGAAGCGTCGCTTAATGACCGTGCTATTCTTATGGTGTTCAACATTCTTACGGATATTCTGCGTCAGATGACCTCTCGTGCAGCTCGCTTCCCTATGGATGTCCTGGAGAGGCTGGGTGATCTCGCTAGCAAGTTTCTAACATCAGAGCAAGCGAACATCCGGCAAAAAGTGACTCAGCTGTGTGTACACTTGCATACAATGACTGCCGATGATGAGAAATTTTGGAAAATCATTGGTCAGGTCTCTGAGAACACTCGGAACTTACTCCTATATTTCATTGCTATGGAGCAGTTGTGAACAAAGCGTACCCTGTGTTGTATTATTAGCATCGCTATTATTAGCATCGTTCTTGTCAGCATCGTTATTGTTAGGAACCAATCCGTTATTGATAGGACTCAATGAATCATATTAATATGTTTGATGGATATCATTGTGCATTGTGCAAAAACTGAGTTGCGCCCTCATCTCCCCAAGAGATGAGACTGTAAACGCCAGAGTCTCTTCTCATTGTACTGTCTCGCATCTCATATCTCCTCCACTCCTCAGGCTTCCTGCAAACTTCCTCCACTCTCCTCCCGTGTCTTGCTCTTACACCACCTAGCTTCGCGTTGGAATGTTTTCCTTTGGCATTGGATTGTCTGCTCTACACCATGTACACCTCTTGGCGCAGTGGAGAACGAGCCCTCTTCTCTTCCCTTCTTCTTTACAACAGCCCTCTTTTTACTTAGAAATCCACAAAGTCTCTTAAGTCTCTTTGAACTCCCCCAAACCGATAACACTCTCGAGTACATTGCCTGCTTGTTTCCCACCCCAGCACTCCCTAGGAGCAATCTTATAGGGGATGTGCATTGTGAGCCGCAGTGCTCAGACCTCAGTCCTTTGCCGGATGGTGAGCGGCCTTGACGACACCTCTTCGTCGTGTTTTGCGAAGTATGTGTTGACAGGATCCCATCCCGTCTAAAACCAGTGTTGATGTTACCGTCGCAAGTGCAGAGCTGGCATTCTGGTCAGTTTTGATATCTTTTGATTGGTTTGCAAGATCATCTCGAACTTGCAAAGGCCTGTGTGCTTTCCTTGGAGAAACCCCTCTTTTTTTTCTTTTTTCTTTTTTCTTTTTTTTTTTTTTCTTCGTTCCTCTCTTTGGTCTTCATCATCCCCCCCCCCCTCTCCTGTCTAGACCATCTTCTTTCTATATTTACCTGAACCCATATGTAAAGTCACAGATCTCTAAGGAGTGTTTTACCACTCTCAAAACAACTTGCTTATGTTCCTGGGCTGTTTGTAAGACCAACTTATGAGCGCCCGGGGCTTTCCCCAACACTCGCCTCTCCTCTCCTCTCCTCTTCGACTGGGTGCACCCCGGTCTGGGATGTTAGCTAAGGTATATGGTGTCAGACATATCAACGGTAAACGTCTCTAACGGCTTCAGATGCAGCCAGTCTTTTATGGGTGTTTTATTCAGGCTGGACCAATGCTATTTACAAGAAAGAAAAGGCGACGAGGAATCAAGAAGACGAGAGTATGCTCGATGCATCAAAGGGGAAGATGCCCGCTCGCTGCATCTTCTTCTCTCCCTACACACCCTACACAACTCTCACAAATCGCATGCTCATAACTTTCACACAACTCTTCAATACTACCCTTGCTTGCTCTTTGTAAAGAGATACCCCTTTAACAAAAAAAAAAAAAAAAAAAAAAAAAAAAAAAAAAAAAAAAAAAAAAAAGAAACCTGAGGGCGAAACCGAGCTTGTCTAAGCCGGGT